CCCTTGCCTGTGACGTCTCTCCTGCCTGCCCGACTGCCAGTGATGTCGCCCTTGCCTGTGACGTCTCTCCTGCCTGCCCGACTGCCAGTGATGTAGCCCTTGCCTGTGACGTCTCTCCTGCCTGTACTGTACCACACCACTGCTCATCCTGACGTTGGAATGCGCACCATCATCTCCCTGCTCAGAAATGAGCATGATTAGGGATAATGTAAAGTGCTTTGAAACAATATTGTGAAAATGTGGAATACAAATAGAATTGAATTGAACTGAAATTGTTTCTTCATGTGTGATGTCCAAGTAACTGCTAAAATAAAGGAAACAGCACATTGTCTAAGGTATTGGGTCACCAAAAGATGCTTCAATTACACATTACACAACTTGTAACGGTAGTGGAGAATGTTCCTCCATACCTTCCAACAAACTGTTCCTGGTACAGTTCTTTTGGTGTCTGCCACACAGGCACAGATTACTGGGATTACACTGAAGATTACTGGGATTACACTGCAGATTACTGGGATTACACTGAAGATTACTGGGATTACACAAATTTTTTTCTACTGTTCAGTTGACCAATGAAGTTCAAAATAGACACGGTGAACATGTTTGCTTAGTTCTGTATAGTCTGTATCTTTTCCTAACACTTCTAAGCTGTTACAGACTCTAAGCCACTGTTCCTTTTGAGCTCGTTTAATGTTCTACTCGTTTAATGTTCTGCAAAATGAACCTCAGCAAACATTCTGATATAACTTAAATTTAAATATGAAATGAGAGCACATGGGTGTCCTGGGATGGGGTTATTCCACCTGAACACTATTACCAATTCTTTAAGTTTGTGTTCAGTTTTACTACATTCCCAAACCTTAACACCTTAGCTTTCACCCCTTGGCAGCTTTTCCCAAAGTTTCTTGTTTTCCTGTGTTTCCTTTGGCTGAAACAGTCATTTTCATTCCTCCCAACCATTTTGTTAAGCCTCTCACCACTGGGAGCATAATAAAGTCCTCATTCCGTCCTCACAGCCGTGCCTCTGTGGCTCTGCTTGTCTTCCTGCTCGGCGACAGCCTTTCACCAAAATACCAGACAACCGAGGCACCCCAGCATTTTTATGTACGTCTCATACATGATGCATCTTTTTCCCTTAAACAACTTAGTAACTGCACCTGATGCAATTTATCCCTCATTACTTATATATCTCTAATTCTGGCAGTCACCTCTATTACATCTAACAAAGAATATATTTCACCAGTACATGGTCCTATATCAAAAAATCATTACACCAGAAAACAAGACTCGCATTAGTTCTTCCATATATCTGCTCATCCTGGTCAGATTTTCAAGGGGCCTGGAGCCCATCTCAGACAAGACAGGACACAAGGCTGGGGTATATCCTGGATGGCAGCTTTGTCCATTACAAGGCACATATACCTTCAATCACCACAGGAAATTCTGAGATGCAAAAGAGCCAGAGTGCTAGTTTTAGACTGTGAGGGAGCCGGTGCAGCACATGGAGAACATGGGTGCAGCACATGGAGAACAGAAACATGAAAGACTAAAAGAACAGTGATACCCACCATGCAACCACAACCGACCTTTTAAATATGAATTTGTTACAGGTATTTGCATATTGGCTTAATGTAATTCAGAAACTACATTATATTTGCGGAGTGTCTATTTGCACCAGAGTCAAAACAGTTACAAGGCATCTAATTGGCTATTTACACCCAGCTTCCTCACTCCCTGTCCTCTTGCTGCATGGATGCATGTAATTTCAACGGCTGATGGAGCCAAAGTGGGATACAAATCTAAAAATTATACTACTAACACTACTACTACTACTACTACTATTATTATTATTAATAATAATAATTACTACTACTACGACTAATAGTAAGAATAATAATAATATGGTATTGTTGGCATTAATGGCATCTGCCTGCTATATACACCCGGGTGCAAATAGCCACATTGGGAATCCATCCCAGGTGCAAATAGCCACATTGG